ATACTGAAAGATAGTATAATTAATAACAGTTAACTTATGAACAAGCAACATATGGATCTTTGAGTAATATAATTAGAAATGTTGGTTTATTTTATTTTGCTCACTCATTCATCTATTAATTAACTAAAAGAAAATATGTAACTTCAAAAAAAATATAATGGGGAAGCATAACATAGTTAATTGTAGTAGATAATGAATTGTATATAACATCATATTAATATTGATTTTTTTCAAAAAAACAGATCTACCAATTAAACAATGGGATTGGATTATTGTTCAAAGCATTAATGGTGGTGGTAATAATAATATATCAATTACTGATAATAATTCTTTATTATTATGGTTATTGTTACTTATTTATTATTATGGCTTATTGTTAACGTGGTAAGTAATAATATATTATTAATAATATTTATTGTATTAACAGGTTTATTATTATTTACGCGACCATCAAGGTAAGTAATAATATACATATAATTTATTGTATACATATATAACATTATATTAACGGGTTTATTTATTATTGTGCACGCGACCATCAAGGTAAGTAATAATATACATATAATTTATTGTATACATATATTACATTGTATTAACGGGTTTATTTATTATTATGCACGCGACCATCAAGGTAAATATAATATATCACTAATAATTCTTATTGTATTAACGGGTTGATTATTATGGTTTATTGTTACGCGTGGTAAGTAATAATATATTATTAATAATAATTCTTATTAAATATATAACATTGTATTAATATTTCTTTTTTTCCAAAATGGTGTTCACTATTATTGTTACGCACGTGATCATCAGAGCAGTAAGTAATAATATATTATTATTTAATAATTTTTATTATATATATAACATACAACAATTAAAGAAAAAAATTAGTTATTATTTTATTATTATCATCATCATTATTTATTGCTATGTATAAAATTTATCTGTATTTAAAAAAATAAATAAAGTTTCTTTTGCCAACTGTATATTTATTATAAAAATAAAAATAAATTCAGTGTAAAAAAAATGAAGTTGTCATTTTATTAATTTTCGTGTGTTAGAAATTTTTATAGAAAACCCCTAGAAAATTCTGATACTATATAAGGCGGGATCACCACACATCCATTTATGGTATAAT